CCCACCACAATGCCTGGCTATTTTTTGGTTGTAGTTGTCATTGTTGTTTGGCAGGCCCAGGCTGGATTCAAACCCACCAACTCTGGTGTATGTGGCTGGCACCTAAGCCCCTTGAGCTACAGGCGTGGAGCCTGGATATGAGATTTTTATAAGGTACTCCATTTCCCCCTTCAAGGTCAAGAAGTTGCTAACTCTGCTTCCAGAAAATATTTTTGCATACCTTCTTTTACCCTATTCCCTTCACTGATAAGCAAAACTATCTACTGTTGTGACTCCTATGGACCCTCACACATCTGGTAGCTCCTACTGTGCCTGTTTACCCAACTCGCATGTCACCTCTAGGCCTACCATCGTAGTCAACCAGATGATCACTGAGGCCTGGCTGTCTTCTCTTACTAATACTCATTTTGCCTGGGTGAAGGTACAAACATGTTCATATCCTTAAGAAACATGAAAAACAGTTGTCAGACTACCTAGAATATTTCCACTTAAGATAACTCAGATTCTAGGTGGCACCTGTGGCTCAGTGAGTAGGGTGCCAGCCCCATATACCAAGGGTGGCAGGTTCAAACTTGGCCCCAGCCAAACTGCAACAAAAAGTAGCTGGGTGTTGTGGCGGGCGTCTGTAGTCCCAGCTACTCAGGAGGTTGAGGCAAGAGAATTGCCTAAGCCCAAGATTTGAGGTTGCTGTGAGCTGTGATGCTACAGCACTCTACCGAGGGCGACAGGGTGAGACTCTGTCTCAAAAATAACTAACTAAATAAATAAAACTCAGATTCTGAAGACAAAACCAGATTAAAGACCAAATCAGGGTAGTGCCTGTGGGTCAGTGAGTAGGGTGCTGGCCCTATATACCAAGCATGGTGGGTTCAAACCCGCCTCAGCCAAACTGCAACAAAAAATAGCCGGGTGTTGTGGTGGGCACCTGTAGTCTCAGCTACTCGGGAAGCTGAGGCAAGAGAATTGCCTAAGCCCAAGAGCTGGAGGTTACTGTGAACTGTGATGTCACGGCACTCTACTGAGGGCAACAAAATGAGACTCTCTCTCTACAAAAAAAACCCTAAAAACTAAGGCCAAATCAGATGATCTTTGAAAGCATAGTGTCGTCTTTGGTAGAACTGCATGAAATTCACAGCTGGTAATCCTTCACCTCCTCTTGGGCCTGCCAGGTCAGTATATCTTGCTTTGTGGTTTACAGGAGGACTTCAGCTTTTCTTTCTTTTTTTTTTAGAGGCAGAGTCTAACTTTATTGCCTTTGGTAGAGTGCTGTGGCATCACAGCTCACAGCAATCTCCAACTCCTGGGCTTAGGCGATTCTCTTGCCTCAGTCTCCCAAGTAGCTGGGACTATAGGCACCCGCCACAACACCCGGCTGTTTTTCTGTTGCAGTTTGTTCAGGGCCAGGTTCGAACCTGCCACCCTCAGTATATGGGGCCGGCACTCTACCCACTGAGCCACAGGCGCCACCCTACTTCAACTTTTCCAACTAACAGCCTAAAGCCAAAGAATCTAGGCAACTCCTTGGGTCATGAGAACAGTCAAATGAGTAGCGCCTGAGATAAAGTCTTTTATTTATTTATTTATTTTCTGTCGTAGCTGTCATTGTTGTTTGGGTGGGCCCAGGCTGGATTTGAACCCACCACCTTAGGTGTATATGGCTGGTGCCTTAGCCACTTGAGCCACAGGCGCCGAGCC